GAGAAAACACATGAACTCATTAGTTTCAATGGCAACTTACGAATGTAAAATTGTTCACAAATCTAAATAGGAAAAAAGCAAATTGATGAATTCTGACCATAGCTTATTAATAATGGAATTCACCATGAACGAATGTACAAAAAGAAGAATGGATTCTTTCAATGGTAACTGAGATGTGTAAAAGTTTTGAGAAGCCTAAACAGAAAAAAATGAATTGATTAATGGTTGGCATAATGTACCAATAATGGAATTCAAAATAAGTTATTTTGAGAGATAAAGCAGCTTATTGTTTTCTAAGAGTAAATTACTGTATGAGAATTCTTCAGCAATTTAAGAAAGAAGATAAAAAAATGATTTAATTTTAATGGATAGTTACCAATAGGAGAACCTTTAAGGAACAAAAGTGGAACATGGAAGAATTGGTAAGATTCAATTGTAACTGACCAGGAATAAAATTTTCAACGAACCTAAAGAGAAAAAAACGAATTCATTATTTTCAGTGATAACTTACCAATGTAAAATTGTTGTTGAAGCTGAAAAGAAAAAGAATATTTACTGTGATAACTTCCTAATAAAAGAATCTTCACGAACCTATATAAAAAAAATTTGTTTTGATGGTAATTCACGCATCATGGCATTCTAAACAAACTAAAGTAGAACATAAACGAATTCGTTAATTCTACATGTAACTTAATTATATCAGAAGCTCACGAAGAACCTAAATTCCTAAAGAGTTGATATGTTCTATTTTAGATAGTGTTCAAACACACCTTATTCTGCGTATCGATCTTATAAACAGATTAAAGACTTGAACATATTTGAAAGTAATAGTTGTGAATAATATGATCGTTTGAGTTGTCTTTAATATAAGCGGGTATCATTTTTTTGGATTGAAGTAAATTTTCAATTCCCTAGTAAACCTAATGGCTCCGATAGCTGACTTCTCAGTGGAATGTTTGAGGAAGCGGATACACGCTTCATTGTTTTTTGTAGCTTTTGGGCACCATTTCATTGCTATATGTGACAGATTTTACTTGATTATGGTAGGTCTCAATTTATTTAAAATAAAATCAATTCATCAATGTGCGAAAAAAAAATAAAACAAGTTTGTTTATGTGAAAGATAATAGAAGATGTTTATGAAAACAGCTTCTAGTTCACTTTAGTGATTATAGGGAGAATGTACCGTATGAAAAAGAAAACCCAGTCAGCAATACTAATACAAATGAAACTAAAAAAGTTCAGTCTTTATTTGTCTCTTTTTTTCACGCGTTTTAAGCGTGATGATATTGGTCCTTCAGGACTATGTCGACGTTTTTTTTTATGGTGAAATATTATTTGGTGGTTTTGTTAATGGAGAAACATGTTTTGGTAGTTTTGTTGATGGAAAAACATGTGTTGGTGGTTTTGTTGAGGGAGAAACATGATTTGATGGTTTTGTTGATGGAGAAACATGTTTTGGTGGTTTTGTTGATGGAGAAGCATGATTTGGTGGTTTTGTTGATGATACTTGATTACGGCTTCGTATCATTTTGTGTTCGATGTTGACTGAATACAAACTGTTTTCATTCGAAAGCGCAGATGTCGATGTTTCAAAATTTACTTCTTTTATTGATGAAAAATGCGCTTGTATATCAGGATCGATTAATGACGATAGTAATCTTTCTCTTGGAGAATTATTTATATCATCATTGTTAGCACTTGTTGTCGTTGTTGGATTTTAAACAGCATCGGATACCACATATACGGACAATTGTGTTTTAGCTTCAACTGATGGATGATATTCGGATGTTCTTTCAGTAAAAACTTCGTGTGGTTCTTCATCAGATGAACTATCAGGATCATTTTCTTCTAAGTGTACCAAATCCGTGATCGAATCTGTATGTGTTTTATTGTTGGTAGATGTAATTTTTACCACTTGATTTGTTTGTTTACGTTCTTTTTTATCAATTTGAAAGTTCCATGCTTTTAATGTAAATCGTAATTGTTTTGTTAATGCTGCTGGTTCTTGTAGTAATATTCCATACAATAAATGTATAATTCGATTGTGTGTACCAAATTGTAATTCAAATATAACATATAAAGAGACAATAATACATAAAGCTTGGTCGATTGATGTTGTTGCAGTAATAACATCATAATCTAAATAAATTAGAAATTTGTCTGTTGGAACTTGTATTATTGGACGAGGAGATGATGGTTCCTTAATGATAAAGAAAACAAAATGTGATGAATTTTTTTAATCTAAATAAGTAAAACCTCCGACACATTAGAAGACCCCTCCCCACACATAATAGAAGACCACCCTTGAATAAATGAAGCAAAATATATATTAGAAGACTCCCCTGATAAAATCGATTTTTTAGATTTTAATCAGTATCTCATTCCTTTCCAATAATTACNGACTGTGAATAATAATTTGTAACTTTTGAAGTCGATTTCAAACTTTTCAATCAACTACAAGAGCACCTTCTCTGTTGCGCAGTCGTACTGTGTCACGTCGCTAACGAATTCGTCACGTCACGAACGCCAAATAAACTCAATTTAGTTAAAAATCCAAAATTATTCAGAAAAAACATTGAGTAAATATTTTTGTAGCTTCAAGAGTCGCCTGCAACATTTACTATTAAGTTTTCGAAAATACTGTTTCGATTCGCAGATTTTTCAAACTGAAATGCTTGTAGTGGAAGTTGATGTCCTTTTTTGAGTCACGTCGCTAACGCTAGTTTTTTAATCATAACTCTGATGAACAATAATCCCTAGGGCTGTTTCTTTCAAGGTGTCTAGAACAACTTAGCATACGTATAGGATATAAAAAAATCAGCTCTAAATAAGCTGATTGTCCAGAGCTATATGCATTTCAATTTTGCGAAGTCACGTCACTAACAAATGATTTTGCCCATATATGTATAGTCGTTTTGGTGTTTTTCTTTTCTGTTGTTATGGATGTGGGTGTGGATCTTCTTCAGATTTACCTGTACTCACACTCGCATTAAGTAACGATATTTATAATGAACATAAAGAAAAATCAACATATAATGAAAAATGAAAATATAAATTCAGATAAATGTTTGAATCAAAAGAAGCACGTTATTAAAACAAATCGAAATACACTTGCAAATACAAATCAACATTTACATCCAAAAGAACGTTTAAATAAAATTGAACATATGGAAGCAGATCATATAAGACATGTGAATAAAAATGAAACTGTAAATTCAGATAAATGTTTAAATAAAAAGCATGTTATTAATACAAATCGAAAAATGCATATGGATGCAAATCAACATCTACATTCAAATGAACTTTTAAATGAAATTGAAAATATTATTGAATTAAATAGAAATAAGTATGCTAATCCACATGAGCATTTAATTATGGTAAGATTTTCTCTATAATCAGTAATAATAGAAAGTGTACTAAATAGGCGATTACTTTATCAATAAGTAGATTTTCTATTTTTGAAAAAATAAAAATATATAAAGCTTTATTATTTAAAAAATGAAGATAGATAAAATCTTTATCTTCATAAGATAAATATAGAAGAAATTTTGATCATTTATGTTTTATTTCACCCTTTGACCTTGATATTTCTAAAAGGAAAATAGAGAAGAGATTCTTATATGAAAGCGATAAATATTTTTTACTCACTATCCGACGGTCGCTATAAAAAAAAATCCGGCGGTGATTCTCCATAGAGCATATATAAATTACCATATATAGAGTTAGGATTAATAAGATTTTTAATCCAATGGATTATTAAAGTGATAATGATGACTTGTGGGCGGCAATAGAGGGAATGAGGTAATCACCCACTCCTGTTCCATAAGATATATAGAAAAATTTATTTCTGTTTCATTAATGATGTATTTTTCTTTTTTAGAATATTGAAAATAATCATGCTGAACATGAAAATAGGGAAAGAAAGAAAAACCAGGACATTAAATTAGAGCTTCAAAATCAATGTAGTCGACGTGACCAACAGCTGCTCAAATGGGTTGAAAAACAAGACAATATAAATCAAAATATACTTGAATTAACCAGAAGGCAAACTGATTCAGCTGAAAAACAAAATCTTATACGCAATAAAATAGTTGATTTAATTCAAAAACAAAATAATTCAGCTGAAGATGTGAAAAAATTGATTGAATCATTTGGTATTATTGCTCACAAGTTGGTCGACAAAAAAACTTAAACAATATTTACATAGCACTTATTATGTTTTTGGCAGGTTGTAAAAGCGTGAAGGAGCAGTGAAGATCATTTTTCTCGTTTTTTTCTTTGTCAGTTTTTTTTTGTTCAATAAATACAATATGACTAAAGGGTGATTCAAAAGTCTTCGACCCTCTCTGTAAATTGACGTTATGTATATGAATACATATATAGATAGTTGATTGAAATATACAGTTTTGTAGAGAATGAGAAAAGCTGTCATCTGGAAAAAAAGATTGAAATTATGTCATAGTTATGATCATTTTATTCATGATGACTAAGCATTTAACACGTTACATTTTCTGCAGAAACAAAAAAATCTGTAATGTTTGAGTCATTAAGGTCGAGTAAAACATTGTTTTTACTAAATATTTCTATATGATTTGATACAGTTCGACAAGTTCTACAAGAATATGAATATCAAAAGAAAATTCTGATCCTCTTTCCAGTACAAAACGTGGAGAAAACCAGAAAGATTAATAAAAATCTGACATATCTTGCATTCGAGAGTATGTTTGACTTTCAATAATTCTAGCTGATCGACTGTTGATTTATGTTTCGAGATGCAGTGTCACATACTGAAGCTGAAAATAACCTTTCCGAGCTTCATGAACAGACGGAACAATCGATCAGCTAAAGTTATTGAAAGTTCAGCATACTCTCCATAATGCAACATATATGAAATTTTTATTAGACTTTCTGATTTTCTTCAAGCATTGTATTGGAAACAGCATCAGAATTTTTTTTGATATTCATATTCTTGTAGAGCTCGTCGAACTCTATCGAATCACATACAAATACCTGAAAAAACAATATTTCGCCTCAGACGTTACAAGCATATTTTGTTTTTGCAGAAGATGTAACGTGTTAAATACTCAGTCATCATGAATAAAATGATCATAACTTTTCATAACTACGACACAATTTCAACCTTGTTTTTTTCAGATGATAGCTTTTCTCATTCTGTACAAAACTGTATATTTCAATCGACTATCTATATATGTATTCATATACATAACGTCAATTTACAGAGAAGGTCGAAAACTTTTGAATCACTCTTTAATGAACTCTAGGATTTTTTCTTTTGACCTACCACTCCCCAATATCCATTCACTAAGTAAATGTATCTTGGTAAACTTTTCTGCTGATTTCATCTATCAACACTGGTTTTGCTTTTACTCGTATGAAACATTTAATATTTCAGCCAGTATTCGTTTATGATTTGTATATAGAATCGAAGATTAGACTTATAGAACATACAGGTATTTCTGAAAACTCGAACTGGAATGGAACACACAAGAAAACGACATGGTCATTGCTCGATTATTCATGAGTTTTGTTTAAATGCATCCACTCATGCTCTATCTGGTATTACCCACAGTGAAAGTTTATCTAACCGTCTTTTTTGGTCAATCTCATTCGTTGTCTTCACTGAAATTATGATCTATTTTGTCGTCATAATAATTCTAGCCTATTTCAACTACCCAACAAACATAGATGTAACTTATACAAGAAAATGGCCGCAATACTTTCCAGCATTTCGTCTATGCAATGCTGCATCATTACGAGTTCATCAATTTATTGATCCATTTTTAAACTACACTAATGCACTCAATCTTAGTAATACAAATGACACAACGACAATTACGACTTTTGATATCGCTGACATTTATGACTTTTTAATTTATAAAATCAATCGAAACGAACCAATCGACTCTTTTTTCTATTCACTTTCTTCAATGCTCGTTACATGTACACTGAATTATCAATCATGCTCAGCAGTTGATTTCGTTTCATTCACAATTCCAGTCTATGGTCTCTATTATACATTCAATGCAAAATTAAAACATAGGAACAACGATAGTGTACGGCATGCAAATCAGAATGGCGGTGACGAGAAACTATCTTTAGGTCTTTATGTACATAGTCATCAATACTTCCCATAAACGTCAGATTGTAAGTAGAAAAAAAATAGGCACTTGATTACTTCGTACTTTTGATGTTTATGCAGCTTTGGGTGTGGTCACTTAAATCCATCATAATACTCAGTTGCGAACCATTGAAGCTGCTGGTGTAGAACTGACACCGAGACGAAAACACAAATTGGGTTACAGAAAGAAGACACTCTCTTTCTTGTCTTCACCGTATAGTAGTTGTACGAATACTGTTTCTCTCTCAATGCAATTCATGCTTGAAAAGTATAGCGGTGTCGATTATGGGTATTCGGAAACTAGCTGTTATCTACTTTGTGAACAAGTGTACACGTAAGTATATTTACATAGAATATTTCGATTTGTCTATGAATCAAATGGATATTCTCTCATGTTTAGGTATGAACAATGCGGCTGTGTGAATCCAGTTCTATGGAATGCTCGGTCGATTGCTTTAACAGATACAAACAACGTCTTTATAAATAGATATTGTTCTGACTGTTAAGCCGAATGCTCAATAGCAAATTTCATCGTTCAAACATCGTCATTGAAAGCACCTGTCGAATCGCAAATTGAATGTATAAAGAGTATTGTTGAAAACATTTCAATTCCTTTGCCTGTGAATTGGTTGAATACTTGGCGTGACCATATTTATGGGAATTATCTTGCTGTGAGTGTCGTCCTTGAAACTAATATTGTTGAAAAAAAAATACACAACAACATCACTTGGTGTTGGTGACGTTATTTTGAATATCGAATGCGAAACAAGTTTATGAATTGGTATCAGGTTTCTTTCAATAATGGAAGTTATTGAAATGGTGTATCGATTAACGCGGTATTAATACTATTTATCCCGGGAGGATTTCGCAAAGAAATAACGAACACTTTCTAAGTGAACATTTTTTTTATTACGTTTTGACTCAATATTATGAGGGTGTGGGGTGTGGGGTGTGGGTGTTGGTGTAGGTGTAGGTGTGGATGTCACTCTTCCAATTAAGCAAACCCACATTCACACCGAAATCCACCCTCATTGGTCTTGACATTAATTATTTATCTTTATAAGCTCTCGGTGAGCTCTAGATACTTGCATCAGATGAGATCATAATGAGACAGGAGGGAATCAGTTCATAGTGAAATGATTTATTTTCCAAGGAAAAAGTTGGAGACGAGTCGATAAAAATATGTTTCGATCGTTATTCATTTAGAAACATTGACGGAAATTTGTACCGATGATCGAGGATCAAGATGTCAATCGAAAAATCGATCAGGTTAATGAATAACAAATGTGAATTTCTTCGACTTTTTATCGATTACTTGACTTGTTGAGATGAAATCTGCGAAAGAATTTCGAAGAAAAAGAATACCTGGAAGCATTATTTTTTTCCTTTTCGATGATCACCGCCTGATTCTTGATCAACGCATGCTTTTTTCATCATAAACAAATTGATCAACAAAATAGAGTCGCTCGAGTGTCTTTTGGCGCATATTTTTGTTTTCAAAAATGCGAAATTCATTCTTCAAAAGACAAAGAAAAATAGAAAAAAAAAACTTTTTGCCAAGAGCGTCCAAAGCATTTTCTTTTTTCTCTTTTTGACGACGAGACGTACACGGGCAAAGTAAGTGTTTGAAAAAGCAGAACCATGTGTGTTGACTGTCATTTTCAATGACTTTCTAGATACTCTTAATGAATTTTCCTTTTTATTCTCCCGATAGATCTTGTTCAAAGAAAAATTTTTCTCCGTAACATAATATTTCGACTCGCAGTGACTGGATTAAGAATATCGGTCCTTGTGCAATAGCATATTTATAAACGGAGTACTCTTGTTTGGTGATTATTAATCAGTAGAAACGAACATAGTAGAAGCAAACAAATGTGAAAGAGAGAAGAAATATTTCGATTGTCGTTTCTTCCAAGAGAAGTCCTCATTTCATTCAAATAATGATATTTTCATACTTTTTTCGTTACAACGACTTTGACATATTTTCACATATACTTGCTTGCTACCACAAGAATTAGGCAGCAAGTTTCTTTGTCTTTAAATTTTCGCCAAAACTAAACACTTCTCGTAATTTTCAATTTTCTCAGGACTAGATCATTGTTTGAAAGTGTGCAGCGTCTCGAACGAGAAAGCAAATAATCATTTACAAAGCTACCAAAGAAACTGATTTCTATCAAGTTTTGTGGATCTGTTAAAAGTTTTGTCAAATAAGGTTTAGCTTATTGAAATTTCAGGTTTTTGAAGTACTTCCAAGAAATATCATTCGACATAACATGATTCCCACAATTTCAAGTTGATTTTTGTAAAGTTTATTAAAAGCTGCATCGATTCGTGTGGAGATATTCGGAAAAAACTTGGGTAAAAGTTTTCTAAAAGGCTCCTAGAATACTATTGAGCGCTTAAAACGCTCATACATCTACGTATTATTTAAAGGATAACAGCCTATGCCATCCACGATAAATAATGACTTTTCGATTCCATCATCTCTGAAAAATGCTCATGTATGGAGACAACTGCACATAAATATTAGTCGTTTTTAACTGACCTATGAGAAACACTGACAGAGTTCAACCTTGTTGTAGCCGTTTTTGAATAATCAAAATTCAGTTTTATAGAACGCACTAACAGCTACAAAATGTAATATTTGTGTTTCTGTTTAAAGTGAAAAATCAATGAAATACGAATCACAAGGAACTTCCCACTAATAGGATTATCCATATATGAAAATCGCTTAAGTCGAGTCTGCCTATCTCATCAAAAGAACTTGTGAGTTTGAGTGTGAGCGAAAATAAGATCGACGTTCATAATGGAATTCTCATCCTCACAGAAAACAGTCCTCTGGGCAGTTTTGTAAAGAACGTTTTGCTGTATTCTTCCAGACGTCCTACACATTCAACCGATGAACTGGTCCTGAGAACATTGAAGATTACGAAAACTGCTTAATTTTGGTGAGAATTTAAGGGAAATATTCAGACGTTGCCTATATTTAATTTATAACTTCTGATAGGATCGGCGGATAGGTCATATTATTTCACCCACAACCTCTCAAACAT